TCGCACCCCAGTGAAGTGCTGCGAGAACCGCACTCTGTAGCTCTCGGACGTTAATAGAGTTATCGTAGGACATGGACTGCAGCACCTGGAGTTCGTCCAGCGTATATTGTACGCGGATAAATTCCCGACGTCGAGGTTCCAACGCGCACAGTCCTGTCCCTGAAGCATCCATATAGACGTAAACACTAGGAATTGCAGTGCGCGCCAATTTGGCGACAGGGATCCCGTTGAACTGCCCATGATTTTGGAGCACAGCCTTAAACCAACGAGGGTGTTCAACAGCTTCTGCAAGCAGGCCTGTATGTTATAATATGGTGAGGTATATTGTGTTACTTTCCCTTCATTGGGATGAACTCTAATATCCATTATGACCAGGCGAGTACATCCTTGTCAGTGTCACTACTCTTCTCCTCGCCACTCTGTGAGTCCGCAGACGCCTCCTTCCCCAGTACGCTGCCGATTTAACCAACGACTGAAATCACCACGTAGGAGCTGTTACAGTCCCACCGTAATCGGAGCTGCTAACTTTCCCTCTTCAGTAGACGTCATGTAACTTCATCCCCGATCTATTGCCAAATTTGCTAACCAACCTGCCGCCTTATTGTGCCTCCGGTAATGATGAGTCCAACTCACTACTTCGCACAGATCAGCCAGTCGGCGTGTGATTTGGTACCAGTGTACCAACGTGGTGGCTTTCGGCCTTCTCCGCTGCGACATCATGCCCAGCACCAGAGCACTTTCTCCAACCACGTGCAATTTGGTCCATTCCTTTTCCCACGCGTGCGCCAACATCCTCTGTAGACCCACAAAAACCGCTACATTGTTGGTGATGTGATGGTTTCCCAGACCTGTGGCTGCTGCCCACACAGAGGTCATCTCCTTCCTGTCTTCATCATATTCTACTATCACACTGCCGCTGCCACCTTGACCAGAATTACCCCTTCTATAGTGATGGCTTTGATGAAAGCTCCACGCTGCGAGCCCGGACTCTGGCGTCGGCCGAATGGATTGCCCCCCTTGGAAGAAATCGACTCTAGTCACCTCCACCAAATTGTCCACCACCGCAGTAGCGTTTCTGTGTCTACATCGGTCTATGAGATATCCAACCACGATTATTCCTCCATTCTCGTTGGTACAAGCGGCAGCAGACTCAATTGATATCGTCTATAGGCTTCCAAAATACCTCGTGTGGTGACAGCAATTGACCCCACCACGCTTTGCTTGTTCTTAGCCGTGGGATGTATATCCTCAATCCTCCTTCGCCACAACGTTGGAACAATGATTGCACACCCGATTGCCCACAACACGGTTGACGTATCATGCAACACCTCCCATGCTGCTTCATTGTGACTTAGCCCCCATTTCAATATGTCCACCGGGAGATTCGCTAGGGTAAGACCAAAAATTGCGTCAATGATCTGACAACTGAAGACCCAACTCCCAGTGTCACTTACGTCCCCGCATCCCCACATCTCTACAATAGCTTCCCAGTGTCTTCTAGCTACAGGACATGTCCAAACCAGGTGCATCACCGCATCCTCCTTTTCACTGGCACATTCCAGCAGTGGGCATTTGAATCCCCTATTTTCCCCTGCCCACACTCGTAGTTTTCTTAGCTTGAGTATAATTAGATTTTGCGGACTTTTGACAACACTTGGTTAAATTCCCGCCATTATTACAAACCTGGCAGGTAATTTGTCAAAACTGGCATGGAATTCATTCACGTGTGCTGATTGGCTCAATCCATTCAACGCCAGCCACGTGGATTCTTTGTCGCTTTGAAACGAACGGATCTTCTAAACCATGGACGAATGCACCATAACGAATGTACAAGGGCGGCCACTA